AAGAAAACCGAAACACAGGCAAATCTGAAGTAAATCTCTAGCAAACTATTTCTTTTGAGCTCGGACATAAGAGCACAAAAATCATCGCCGGGAAGAAGATGGCGGGACTACTAGCATGGGCGGCGGACGTGGTGGGAGGCAATGGCGGAGAGAGGACCGATGAAGAAAATGACCCGGATTCCATTCCGCTGATCCTCACCTCCGAACAACAGACATACGTTCAAGAACTGGATCGGAAGGCTACTTCCTTAAACCGTTCGATCCAAGATCTACGGCAGAGATTGCCCCCTCCAGACATCTCACAACGCCTGCCCCACCTCCACGCGCATTCTCTGGCCTCCAATGCCGCCCTCGCTCTACAACTTAATGCCCACTCCACCACTAAACAACAGGTCCTTCCTTCTACCCTCCTGATTTTATTACAAAAAATAATCGCATTCCTCTGGGTGTTGGTTTTGTGAATTTTAAGTTCTCCTCACATGGTTTCTTTATGCGTAAGAATTTTGGTGGTGGATGGTTCTCACAATTTCCTAACACGACATAGTTGTTAAACAAAACCCTAAAGTGTTGGGAACTTGATCTTTTTCTTATGTTGATGCTTGTATTTCAACATTTCTAAAGTACGTTTCAAATTGAAAATCAATTTAATCAGGGGCAGAAAAGGTGAAAATCAAAAGAATTTAAATAATTCGAGACTGTATAGAAGCTCAAAGCATAATGCGAATTATTGCAATGCAGTAATTTGCAGCATATTCCAAACCGTGATTTACGAATTTCATTTGTTTTGGTTACCTTTTCCATTTTTGTCTTTTACCAATTCATGAAATGATTCATTGTTGTATAATGGGATTTTTCTTCGAAATACCCTCAAGTTGCTGTTGGTTAGTGAATGTACAAAACTGATCGTTAGTTGTAATTATTCTGCTAGGTACATCAAAGAGAAGTTAGGTTGCAGGAAGAAAACACCGAGTATGAAAATGCTATATCCAGTTGTGAAAATAAAATACAGGAGAAGTTGCAGGAAGCAGATGCACTTCAATATAAATTGAAGGTTAGAGGTGTTTCCAAAGCTTTATAGGTTTTGCGAGTTTTCAGAAATATTGTCCTTCCTTTTAGTTGCTTTACTGATTCACTAATAACTGTAACAGCATATAGCATGCAAAATGTCATCTCTACTTAATCAATCTTTAAAAGCAAAATTTTAAATAATTCCATGACAAAAAGAAGATAAACTCCTATATAATGTGGATGTATATTTCAGGTCATTTTTACATGATGCTTCCCTTTTGCCCATATAACTGTAACTTAGATATAATTGATGAAGAATGTTGCTGTAACCTTTCAATTAAAATTTCTTCCTAACCTATAAACTTGATTTAATTCTGATATAATTGCTTGTAGTCTGATTCTGGGTTCACTTCATCCTGCCTTTGATGAATGATATTGGGACATGAACTAGACTGGGCTTCAATTCAACTCTACTGGGATAATGACAATCTGGTTACATAAACTTTGACAACTAAATTGAGGCCAGAGGCTTAGAGAGCTATTGTTGTTGACCTCTAATCTTTGAACTCTACATATTCCTATTTGGTCCTCCACACACGAGGACGACATTCAACGTGTTTACCAATAGTTTTTATACACGGTTTAAAATAACCCAATTGAGGCCTGCCTCGACGCCCGCCTCAAAGGGAGGCGAACAAAGAATGCGTCGAGGTGCTGATTGTGAGGCAGTTTTTGGAGGTGTGCGCTCCTTAAGATTCCACGCTTATTTGCTTCCCTGTAAGTATGGGCTTGCAAAAAACATTAAAATTCTTATTTACCAACTTTGGGAGTAGCCCACTGTCACTATTAGAACATCAAAAAGTTGTGTATGTTATAGACCCACTTTGAGAATACTCCGCTACCCACTAACTAAAGGTTTCTTTTTGTTTCTTTATATATTTTTCTTTTCATTGTTTGCGTACTTAAAATTGTTATATTGTGGATTTGAAGATTGTTTATGGTTTTTTATGCGCTTATTTTGCATTTTAATAGTCTTATGACATATATTTGGTTTATGGTGAGGTTTATGCCTCAAAATGCCTTGAGGTTTACACCTGATCTCACATAAGTTAGAACACCTTTTTAAGCATTGGTTTCTAAGCAATAGGAGTCCACTTACAATTTCACCAAATAATTTTCATCTCGTTATAATCAAAAATGTGTTGCAACTCAAGATTTATTCAATCATAACTTGGTCTGATATAGGACAAACCCGGAAAAAGTTGAAATGAAGCTGTCTACATATGCAGTAGTAAATATCGTATTAAGGTCTAAAAGAAGTAAATAAGGCAGATTTGGTGTGCAGATAGTGGTCAATTTGATAGGTATGAACTATAACACGAGATTACAATTTGCTTATCAGGTTCTAGGGTTGCCCTTTGAGGGGTAAAAACTTTTGTGCTTCAACAATGACTTTAGGTGGCAAAAGACAGTGAAAGTAGATTTTACTTTATCATGGTTACTGCAAAAATCAGGTGATTTCAATTCACATTTAGAACTTCACTTCCTTGTTTGAGCACAATACTGTTACACCTGTGGCTTGCCTATGTCACTTGCTAAATGAAATGCCAAAAACAGCATGCTCTTGTGGTGTGTGAAAAATTGCTTTGGTTCACATCTTCACAAGTCCTCTGCAATCGTATTATAATATGCTATGGGAGGTTTTTTACCACACTTTTTTCTGTTGTAATATTATTTATTTTTTGCAATCAACATGATTCTTTGTTTTGCTTTCTAATTCTACCTACTACCAAAAATGACTCGCTGCTACAAAGGTCCTACATGACATGAGCTGCTAATACCCTTTTCGAGTTAACATCAACATTACCTGATTGTCTCATACACTAGCAAAATAAAATTCTAAGATGAATATTTCAATAAAATTTCTGCTGTATGTTTGTTACTTGTGAGAATATAAGGTCAAAGAATTTTCGTTCTCATGAAGAAGGCTCATTTCTCTTTTGGCCTGTCTGGTATCAAGTGCCATTGGAAATTGTAAAGGCCATGCTTTTGAACACGAAACAAAGTTCTTACTCCGAGTGGAAAGTTACCTAATGCTAACATTACTCATAACGTTTGGACATTCATATTAAACTGATTATATATTTTGAGAAACTAAATTGTCTAAAAAGAAAGATCTCTATAGCACGGACACTTTAATTAGGGTAGCGTGTCCATTTCCAACATGTGTCGAACTCGTGTTGGATACCTATTTGCCATAGTTATTTTCTTTCTTTGTTAGAAATATTATATATTTTTAACTCAAAGTTATTATTGACTAAAAATTAGGTACTCATATTTAAAAGATTTCAACAAGAAAAAAATAACTAATATAAAATTAAATTTATACTATATAAATGAAGACTTTTAAATAATTTAATCAATATGTCGACTGCATGCCCTGTTAATACTTTTTTGAAAAATCGTGTCGGGCACGCATCCGTGTCAGTGCATCATAGAGAAAGATAAAGGAAACAATAGATTTTGGGAGAATTATGGCAGAGCTAGGAAGTCTTCAAATTTATAAGCAGGATTAGGAGCTTGTTTGGTAGAGATTAAAATCAGATTAAAATTGAAAAATTAGTCGTTATTGTTGACTTTTATTAGACTAGTGAGACCCAATAACGGCTATATTTTCAATTTTAATTGGATTAAAATCCCTCCCAANGATTAAAATCGGATTAAAATTGAAAATCTAGCCGTTATTGTTGACTTTTATTAGATGAGTGAGACCCAATAACGACTATATTTTCAATTTTAATTGGATTAAAATCCCTCCCAGACAAGCTCTAGATTTCTCCATATTTCTGAAAAAGGGCGACGACCTCTACATAAGAATATTGAAGATACATGATTTCACAATAGGCACGACAGGCCTAAACGTGTTCAGATATAGATACTTGTATATCTGAAAGTTTAGAAAGCTATATTTAATATGTTGCAGAATGATATTTTGACCCTTATGATTTTCCTTACTGTTTCCTTTAGCTTTGGAAATTTGTATTTGTACATTTAAAGGATTATAGTCAATGTTTTTAAAAAGAAAGGAAGTTTTTATATTTATTTGCCCATGGCCATACTTTATGATTCCTCTTTATCTCTTCATCTGAGTGTAGAAAAAAACCATTTCATATTTTTTGCAAATGGTGCGTTATTTGTGTATTAATATGTGGTCCTATTGCTTTTATTTTCTATCTGATAAAGTTAGTTTTCTTGCTATTGATGTAGCTAAGAGGAAGTAAATAATTACATTGGTTGTTTCTGGTAATTTTCCTTTTTATAGGATTTTTTTCTATAATTAGTTTTCCTCTAGGTTTCTATGAAACTATCACTTTGTTTTATTTTCTTTATTTAGGTTTCTACTTCTAGAATTAGTTTTATTTTAGGATCAGATTAGGCTACATTTTGAATTCTATAAATAGTACCCCAACGGTCTTTTAGAAAGGTGAATTATTGAATAAAAAAATTGAGTTTTCTCATGTCTGAATTCTCATTGTTCTACATGAATGAACGAGTTTAAATTCTCTGTATTCTGTGTGAATCAACGAGTTTTTGATGCCTATTTCTTGATATTCACGAGTTCATATGTGCTTGAATGATTTCCTGCATCACACGCCCATGCGTTTGCACAAGTTTATAGAAAATAAAGATAAACAAATAACCTAAGTTAACTCCAGATTGTCTTGTTATAGAGCGTGCTCCCTTGCAGATGAGTTGGGACAATGCGTGGATCCAGATATTATGCAAATCAGCATTTTCATGTCATTGAAAACTTTCTAATTAAAGTTAACTTGTATTTGTTTTGGCCTTATGATTTACCTTTACATTGGTTACTTTGTCCTTGAATTTCTTCGTTATCAAATTTATATGTTAATAGATTATGTCTTCCAGGAAATGGACTTGATTGAAGAGAAATTAATAGCTGAGCTGGAACAAGCACAAGCTTTGGTGACCGAAAGTGAGCCAGGAGAATCAAATGAACTTTCTACTGAATCCAAATCGGTCATTGAAGCTCAAGACGACGCAGAAGCTCCTAGACTGTCAATGTTGGAGAAGTTAGAGATGAAGAAAAAAGAACTGGTTTGTTGAATGATTCATTGTCTTATTCACTATATGTATGCAAGTGAATTTATTCTGTTGGATCTTTTGTTTCTTCTTAGGCTTCGATGGAAGAAATTGCTCAAGACTTGGAGAAAAAGTGGGCAGAGGTTCAAGCTAATGCATTGAAGCAACCAACACCAGGTATAATTTTTCATCTTTTATGTAGCATGGAATGTGGATGGCAAGTATTCAACTCCCAGCATGTAGCATGCTAACTTGACGAGCATATATTATTATATTTGCTTTGGACATACACCATTTATTTTCAGTTGCAGTTGTTGGAATCTTAGCACCTATCACTTTTGATATATTCTGTGTGCTTTAAATTTGATGCAATTCATGCAGCTCAGCGAGAGAAGGCTTTGGATAAACAGCTTCACAGCCTAATTGAACAACTCGCAGCAAAGCAGGTTAGAATTTTTTTATTTTATCTAAATTTCAATGATGTAATAAGCTTTTCTTTTGGCAATTCCTGTCATGATGTTATCAATTTGTGTTCTTCAAACATTTGGTAGAAAATTAAATTACTATATACTAGTTTTTCCTTCTTCCCTGCATTTCAGGCTCAAGCAGAAGGCCTTATCAGTGAAATACATCTGAAGGAAATTGAGTTTGAAAGATTAAATGGACTCTGGAAAAGAATCCAAACGAGCAATGCGGATCTGAATACAGCAAGGAATAGGTTTGGGAGAAACAGCTCTGACAGGGGACCTGTTTCGTCTGATTACACTGTTGATCCTGACCACAAGCTTCCTTTCCATATAGCTGGTCGAAGTGACAGTTTGCAGAGGTTGATGCTACTCAGGTCGGCTTTTGTGATCTACATTTTAGCTCTGCATGTATTGGTATTCATTAAGATTTCATTCTAAACCCCCTCTATAATACCAAATTTGTCTATATTGTTGAACTCATTTCTGGTTCTGATGTCAAAACATTCTCATGTATATATTCTACTCCTGATTGTACAAAAACTCAGGGTGTACTTAGTCAAACTATTGGCTCAATTTAACAAAGGGGATGAAACTTCACTTTTGCTGTGCTTCCTAGCTATATAATTATTTTCTCGTCTTTCCCACCCCTGCAACTTTATGATTTTGCAGCTATGTTAAGTTACTTGGCAATTGGCATATAAGCCTGGTTTTGTTTCAAAACATAAGAACGAGATAAAGGGTTAAGAAAAATTGGACAAGCAGAACAATAAGATAGAGCAAGTTCGAAGTACGATCGCTTGAAGGTTCTTTTGTCCAACCTTTGTGGCCTTTTTATCCTTTCGTTAGTGTCAATCAATTCTTCTTTGAGCACTTTCATAACCTAGATCCTCTCTCTCTGTGATTCTGGGGGGTGGGGTTGTTGATATGAACATGACTTTTATCTGATTGGGATCATCAACTCTAGGCGCTCTTTTTCTCAAGTAGTACCACTTGAATCAAATTCAAAAGCAAAAGGGAAGATTTTATGGCAGGTGGATAATCCTACATGGATTCAAGTGTGGAAATTAATTTTAAATTCTTTCATTCATAATTCATATGATGTGTCATGTTCCTTTGCTAATGGATGTTGATCTAGTGCCACTTGAGAGATTGATTGGTCTCTGTTTGATATGGAATTTTAGGCTCTATGCTGACACTCGAGGGATAAGTTACTTCTACAATTGTACTAGCTATAATTACATACTTTTTGGTGGTAGGGAAAATTGCTAACTTTCGTCTTTTCTCTTGAGGTATCATAAAAGGTAAATTCAAGAGTGTTGTACAATCACTAGAGCACATATGCTACTTATTACTTATTGCTTGATTTAGCAGCAATGGAGGCTTTTTTAGTTACTTCGACACACGGTTTTCATTCTTGAGATCATCACTGTTGAGATGAAGATCAGGCTCTTTTTTCTGTTTGTGTTGTAAATGCCCTTCTAATTTTCTCGATCATTTTTCTTTAGCTTTTTTCCAGTCAAAGTTGGCTCTTCCATATGCAACATATGTAGTAAAAATTCATTCCAAGTGTCGACAGGGCCTGGCAAACACCAGTGGACACAGTCCGCCAGTGTCTTATTCTCTTGTGGCCAGTGCCCGTAGTGGTTGGGATGCCCATCTGGCCTCAGAACCATGGCTCGAGTAGTATCTAGCAATCTAAACCTCAAGCCCTTCTTTTCCCCTTCTTTTTTGACTTCTTTAAACTCGTCCACCTGAGTCATGTAAAGATCCAAGATATACTTCTCTAACTGCATTTCCTGCTTTTTAAACGGTTTTGTTCTCTCGCAACTTCCTCCTTTGTCCCAGTCCCCATTCTCAAAGTGCGCTGGAGAGAATGTTCTTAGAAACACAAGTTTGTTATTATAGTTTTTAAGGCTCAGAAAAGTCTTGAAAGCTGTCCGGAAAGCCATTCTGTATCCGTAGCAAGTCGAAAAGTTTCTGATGTTTCTCTCACTGCACATGTGGCATCCAACAATTTGACCTCTTTCATAGCCTATAAATGGTCGGAAAAACCATTGTGATGCTGAAATTATAAAAATATCAACATTTTCAGTCTGCTCTGCCCAGGCTTCATCAGCCTCATCAAGATAAAGCTTCAGATTATTTGCATTATTGCCCTCAGGACCATAATATTGTGTTCTAACCAGGTGAGGAGACCATAATGCAGCTATTGTGAAGTTGTACTCAGTATAGAGCCACCGCCTGAATCTTGTGTCTGTCGTGGTGGAAACATCCACAGGGTTGGCTGCCTAGGATCTCAGGAGTTAGGCAGAGAACAAATATTGAAATTGCAGTAATAGCGAAGATATACATTTAGGTTCAAGCAACTTGACACATACATGTATGTACAGATTCTGCACTCACTAAAAAACATGTGTTCTTGTGCTTGTGTTTGTGCATAGGTACATTTATACTGATTTTTGTAGAAAGGACTTACACTAGCCAAGAGGCATACCAAGGACTGCATTTGATTTCTTGCCAGGGAGTCGCCAACAAAAGCCAATGTCTTGCCTCTGACTAGTTCCAAGAACCTCTTGGCATCGAAGAGAGTTAACTCGCATTCACTTGGCTTCCACCTCCATTTCATGAAGTTGGAATCTGGTCTACCGAACTTCATACAGTTCTGTCTATCATCTATAACACATATAGTTTCATTAGTGTAATAGGGTCCCTCTGGAAATGGAATCCAATCTCCTTGGAATATATTACATTTGTGTTCTGAACTTACTGATAATGAATCATTACTGGAAGCATGAAGGGGTGTGGCTGTAGTACTTTTCATGTTGAGGGGCACTGAATCATTTGACCTCATGTCTAGATCACTCATTAGGGATGATAAATTGTGTGGCAAGTAGAAATAGAGAGAAGTGATAAGAATTAACACCAAGATTGGGAAGAATAAGCTTTTGAACAAAATGTCCTTCCCACCGGCGAGTAGTTCAACTTTACTCTTCATTTTGAACTCTGGTGTTTAGCATGGAACTCCCATCCTTTTGATCTTTATATATTCTTACCTTACAAAAGAAGGCAAAAACACCTTCATTATGAAGATTCTCTAAATTATTTCTGTATTTTTGTTGTTTATACGATATTACACATTTGTATACATGTAGTTTTGACTATGTGATGGTGTATTTTTCCTTTTTTGCAATATTGTTTATGAATCTTGTAATATACGATATAACCAGAAGTGTAATTGTATTTAAACAGTTTTATTTACTTCATATGAATTGCAATGCCTTGAAGACGGCACAATGGAATATTATTACAGGTAGACTTGGAAAAAGATAACCTTGATTTTACATAATACTTTTTTGGCTATTTCCTTGAATTTGGGTGGTCATGAGCTGGTTCCATAGCTAATTGGCAACTCACAATTGTTTGTATTGTAACTGTTTATGACATCAAAATTCCTTTATAATTGGGGTATACTTACCCATGTGCTTCTCATAATGTCGAGTTGGCCTTTTCTTCTTTGTTTGATAATTAGACATAGACAAATATCTTGAAAAAGAAAGGAGAAATAACTAAGAAATATAAGAAAATAAAATTTGTTTTGTTGGAAATGATGCTGTCCACGTAAGGGAAAAAATATTCTGCATTATCTTCATTCTATGGCCAATTTGTGATACAAAAAATTATGGGAACAATACATAAATAAGGTCTTTAAGTATCACCATTTCAAAATTAAGGTTTGAGGTTTTAAATTTCAAAAATCAGGTTTTCATTAAAATTTATTTATAATTTAATTAATTAATTATATATTTAATTAATAAATATATAAAGGTCACAGATCTATACAATTTGGTCACAATTCAAAAAATTTAAAGTCAC